TGGTAGCGTTCACGAGGGCGAGGATATCACTTTGTGCTGGATCGAAACGACAACCATCAAGGAGGACAAGACCATTCGGCCGCCGAAGAGATTGGTTATTCGCGAATACACCATCTCCTTTGAGAACTCGGCAACTATACCGGAAAGATATCTTGAATGTAAAAGATACGAGGGTGAAATGACGGCGAACGATCCCGACGTCGGCAAGACGGCTCTGTTTGAAATCATAGACGAAGATACGATGGTCAGTAGGATAGTCAATTTCACTTCGGTAAGTCATGCTGATAATGTCACCACCTGGGAACACAAGAAGGTGAAATGCGGGGTCGGTCCGGTGGTTAGTAAGAATATCGTAGAATTGAACGATGGCTCGAAGAATCCAAAGAAGAGAGTGGAGATCAAAGTTAGTCCCAAGATGCATCAACTGACGGCGGCGACAACCGAGGAGGTACCGTGCACGGACAGTACCGAGGAGATCGACGGGAGTAGCCCACTCGCCGACTCTACTGAACACATTACTGAACTGTCCTGCGAGAACGGCGTATGTGAGGCAACCATGACTTCCCCTAGCATTTCAGCAAAAAACGGCAAAGAAGATCATACCTTACCCACTGTTACGGAATCATTAACGTTGCTTGATGAAGAAGTATCCAGAAGGTCGACAATCTTTCCTAAAATATTGACTCCGATTCAGGAATACGAAGAGAAGGTAGACTGCGAGGAGAATCCGTCAGATCCAGCGTGCTTGACGCAGAAACATGGTACAACCCTGCCGGGAAAATTATTTCCTGAATTAATCGAAGTATCCACGATGGAAGCAGTTGTCAGAGAAGCTGCTGAAACGTCAATTCCAATTAGTGATAAAGAAATAGCTACGAGAGAAGAGATTTCTTCCTCGTCAGTCGAGGGGACGTTGAAGGAGACCACGCAGCCTTTATTTACATCGAGAGAAGAGAAACAAGAAACTGATTTAGTAATTGAAGAGACAACTCCGTTCACCATTGTAACAGATATTTCTGTGTCCCGGCCTTCTGATCAAACATCCATCGATGATAGTACAGCTTCAGTGGAAACGAAATTTATGACGGACCACGGTGCGACGGAAGGTGTGGAAGAATCCTCAAAGATCGAAGAAATCCGCGGTGATAGTTTCATTGAACTGTCGAGCGATGAAATAGATAAAGTTCCATCTTCAAGCATGGAAGTGGTGACCTCGGCTGAAATCGATACCGAGCTAGATGTTACAACCGCGATGCCGGTGGAATTCACCGAATTCGCAAGAGAATCCGTTAAACCTGGCCAGAGCTTGGATAAATTATCTGAGCCGTCAATTTCGACTGAAACCGGACATGCAATCTTCGAGTCCTCCTCAAATGAGGAAGTGCCCTCCGAGGAAAGTATAACATCTGCAATCGGGACGATGGTTGAACTACAAACCTCTAGTGAAGAAGGAGAATTCATTTCGATGAGCACAAGAATGTCGCCAACGGAGGTCAAATTAACGACTGCGTCACCGGCAACAAGCAGTGAGGTGGACAATTTGTGCGAGAATCCCGAGGAGTGCGCGCACGTCGCTAGTTCGGAAGCCTGCGACGAGTTCGGAAATTGTGGCAAGGCGACAACCAGGTGCGACTCAGAGGAATGTTTCGAGGATGAAATCACAAAGGATCAATCAAGATTTGATACGAGTCTCCCGTCAATGGCAACGGAAGTCCCACCGTTCGCGACTGGTTCGCAATCGTCCGAGGAATCAGGAGTGATCGAGACTCAGTACACGACTGTTGCGAATGTCGCAACGACCATGTTGACCTCTCGAGAGAGTGTGATCAATTCGACAGATGTCAACGTTCCCTTTACCATGGACACCCGAAGAAGCACGACTATAAGTACGCCGCAGCACAAGCTGACTTTAAAAGTCAAGGTTCTCCTGGAGCACATCAACGAAAACAAAGAGAAACATAGCTTGGTCGAGGTGGAGAAGCATTTGTCGCTGAACGAGAATCTGGAACGTCATAATAATCGCGATTTACTCGAGCAATTGAAATCCTTGAACGATTCCGTCAACATGGAGACCGTAAGCGCATTGTTCAATTGTACCAGTTTGGGAAATTTGACAAGGAATTCGAATTTTATAACCAAACAATCGGGCGATGCTGTTAGTGACAAAGAATTGGAATTTACGAATTCTGATCGTGAGGATACGGAGCAATTTGCTTCTGAATACGCCGATGCTAAAACCGATTACTCTGGATATGAAGAGCGCGAAGGATCACCTCGCAGACGTAGAAGTCTTGATAATGAAATGGAAGAGCAAAATAGACTTGTTAAACGGGATCTTTACGATTCCACTGATTCGGCGGTTGATTCTTTCAATATTTCGACATCTGAGCAGACTGAGCTAATAAAGGAACTTTCCACGACGACAAATTATTCCGAGGAGGAAACAACAGAAAATGAAAGAAACGCAACTAAGGAAGGAGATGAAAGTACGACACCTTCGACAACGATGAGTATCGTCGACCTTTCAAATGCTTCGGAATCTCATGATGCTAATCTGACGAAGGAGGACATACAGTTGACTACAACGACAAATAAGCCCGAAGAAGAGGCAAGTAGTGCTGTATATATAGAAGATGAAAGAAACGTAACCAACGATAGGAATGAAAGCGCAGTACTTTTGAAAAAGGAGGGCATCAGCAACGAAACAGAAATGGATGCAGTCCGAGAAACATTACCTGGAATACAGGAGGATGTTATAACCGGGTTGCAGCATATGGTGTCGCAATTGGCGCAAAATCATCTGACCTCGATTAAGAAGATTAAAGAAGCCGTAAAAACCAATTTGTTGAATATTTTAGCAGACCCCAACGATACCAGAATTCACTGGAGAAGAAGAAGAGCGGCCACGGAAGAAGTCGGGCATTGGTCGAACGAGAGGATCAAGGAGGTACCCATGGGTGGCAATCTTAGAAGTCTCACTGAATTCACACTATACAAAGTCCTTCCTTGAGTAGACATACGGCAAGATTAAATTCTATTCTGCTACTTTCAAAATTTATAATGTCAAAAGATAATTGTCATGAAGCTGACATGAGAGGGATTATGGTCTGGTGTAGAAATCTTATTGCACATTATAATTTAATCATATAAATGCGTATTTATCAAAAACGTTTCACAATATTTATTCAATTTGTGCCTTTCACAATACAACAGATGAGAGATTATATAATGAAATATGCTTTTTATTTATATAAATGTATGAATCTACCGATAAATATAATGTAAGAGAAATTATTTTCATATAAAATACAAATTTGTTCTTTCTGTATATTGGTAGAATTTTTACTAATTAGTTTTTGCAATATATTGAGTTAATATACAGGGTATCCTGAAATTCGCGAATCAAAATACCATAGCAAGAATGTCGTCGAAAAATAAATTAAAAAGTTATTTGCCATTTTTCGTTCCGAGCAGTAGTTTTTTTAGATAAAAAGGTTCAAAACAGGCCAATCATACATCACGGTTGAACGGAAACCTGTCCGTGAGTCGCGCGTCGATAGCGTTAGTGCACTAAACTATCGACGCGCGACTCACGGACAGGTTTCCGTTCAACCGTGATGTATGATTGGCCTGTTTTGAACCTTTT